TCTGGTAACCACCATACTGTTATCTGTGTCTATGAGTTAGTATTTTTGTTTATTTCTCTTGTTCATTTGTTGCTTTCAGTTTTGTATCCCCTATATGAGTGAAATCACATGGCTCTTCACTTTTTCCCTCTGACTGATTTTGCTTAACCCGATATTTCAAGATCCATCCATGTCACAAAAGGCAGTATTTTATCTTTTTTTCTGACTGAGTAGTATTCTGTTATATATATATGTACCACATCTTTATCCAGTCATCTATTGAAGGACACTCTGGCTGTTGCCATGTCTTAGCCACAGTGGATAATGCTTCAGTGGACATAGGGGTGCATATATCTTTGTGAATAAACATTTTCAAATTTTTGGGGTTGATATTTGGAAGAGAGGTTGCTGGGTCATATAGTAACTTTATTAATTAATTGAGGAACCTAGATACTGTTTCTTATAGTGGCTGTACCAGTTTATGTAGTTTTCTTTTGATCTTTGTCTAATTTTGGTATCAGGCCTCATAGAATAAGTTGGGAAGTATTATATCCTCCTCTATATTCTGCAAATGTTTGTATAGGATTGGCATTATACCTTTGAATGTCTTATAGAGTTTCCCATGGAAGCCATATGGACCTAAGCTTTGTGGAAAAGAATTTAATTACTAATTCAGTATTTTTATTTTTATAGGTCTTTTCATATTTTCTCTTCTTGAGTTTGCTTTGGTAATTTGTGTCCTATGAATGTCTCTATTTTTATCTAAGTTATCTAATTGGTATATTGTCTTTTCATTTCTAAATTTGGTAATTAGTATTTCTCTGTTTTGCCTTATTTTGTTGTGTTTTATTTTAATTTTCATTTTTGGTCAGTCTTCTAAATGTCAGTAAGATTTTGGGACTCATTTATTTTTTCTATTGTTTTTCTCTTCTATGGAATTCTGCTCTTATCTTTTTGGTTTTGATTTAATTTGCTCTTCTTTGTTGAATTTCTTAAAGTGGAGGTTTAAATGATTGATTTAAGACATTTCTTCTTTTCTAATGTTGGTGTTTAAAGCTATGAATTTTCATGTAGGCTCTGCTTCATTTATATCTCATAAATGATGATTTCTTATAGGTTTTTGTCCACTCAGTTAAAAAATATATATTTTCTAATTTCCTTTGGGATTTCTTTGTATTTTAAATCCAAATATTTGGAGATTTCCAAAATCTCTCTCTCTTTTTGATTCCTAATTTAATTCTGGTGTGATCAGAGAATGTATCTTGAGTGATTTTAAAAATTATTTCATTTTAATTGAGATTTGTTATATTGTTTAGCATGTGGTTGATACTGAGAATTTTCATGTGTGCTTGAAAATAATGTCTATTATGTTGATATTAGATGATGTGTTTTATAAATGTCTAGCTTTGCTAGTATTAGTCAAGTTTTCTATATCCTTGCTGATTTTTCTGTCTAGCTTTTTCATGAATTATTGAGAAAGGAATATTAAAATCTTTAGCTTTAATTTTTGAATTATGTACTTCTTTAAATTCTATTATTTTTGTTTTAGTATTTTGGGGACTCTTGTTCAGTGCATTTCTAATTGTTAAAGCTCCTAGATGTATTGGCCTTTTTGTCATTATGAAATGTCCTTTTTTTGTCTCTAGTAATATTTCTTGTCTCAAGTCTATTTTTTCTGATACTGATATAAGTGCTCCAGCTGTTTTATGGCTACTGTTTACATGGTATATTCTTTTCTCTCTTTTTACTTTCAACTTATTTATATTTTTAAATCTAGATAGCATTTAGTTGAATCTTACATTTTTGTATCCAGTCTGATAATTTCTGCCTCTTGATCTATATTTATTCCACTCACATTTAATACAATTATTGAAATGGTTAGATTTACATCTTTCATTGTGCTGGTTGTTTTCTCTATAGCTTATAGATTTGTTGTTGTTGTTATTGTTGTTACTTCCCTCTCTTTTTGTTAAACATTTATAGGGTTTCATTTTAATTCCTCTTTGATTTATTAACTAAATATCTAAAAGAGGTTTTCTTAATAGTGTTTAGTTGTTATAATATGCATTTTATCTTATCACAATCTACTTTAGGATAGTACTGACTTAATCCTAGTAAAATATAGCTGCTTTGATCCAATATAGTTCAATTTCTTCTACAGTTTTGTGTTATTATTTTCACATTTGTTACACATATTTTTATAAACCCAATAATGCAGTATTATAATTATTATGCCTTAAAATGTTAAGGCCTTTAAAGAAATTAAGAGGAAAAAACATAAAAATATGTATTTTTATCTTTTCCTTATGCATTTACCATTCCAGTCCTCTTCATTTCTTCCTGTCAACTTGAGTATTGGCTACTGTCATGTCATTTTCTTTTAGCCTCAAGGAATTCTTAAGTATTTCTGCTTGCAACAAATATCCTCCATTGTTGTTTCTCTGGGGAGTTTATATTTTACCTTAGTATTTGGAGGATAGTGTTCCCAGATAGAGAATTGTAGTAAACTAGTTTGTTTCTGTTTTCTTTTAGCACTTTGAATATATCATCCTACTGCCTTCTTAGTCTCTTATCTCTGTTAACATCATGATTAATTGTATTGTTTTTCCCCTGTACATGATTAGTCATTTTTCTCTTGCTTATTTCAAGATGTTATCTTTGTCTTTGTCTTTCAACAGTTTAAATATGATATGTATAGATATGGATCTCTTTCTGTTTATCCTACTTGGTGTTACTTAAACTTCTTGGATATGTGAATTAATATTTTTTATCAAACTTGGACATTTTCAACCATTATTTCTTTAAGTATTTTTTTCTTTCCCCTTTGTCTCTATCTTCTTCTTCCATGATTCCCATTACATATATAACCTTGATATCCCACAGATTTCTGAAACCGTTCATTTTTCATCTATCATTTGTTCTCTGTATTTTTCAGACTGGATGATTTCTACAGATGTATCTTCAAGTTCACTGATTCATTCTTTTTCCCTCCTCAAATCTGCTGTTGTGTCTGTGTAGTAAGTTTTAAAATGTTGGTTATTGTATTTACCAAGTCTATAATTTCTGCTTTAAGTAGTTTTCGTTTCTATATTAAGTCTTTGTTGTATTATTGCCATTATATTTTCCTTTAATTCTTTAAACACAATATTCTTTGATTCTTTTGATATATTTATAATAGTTTTGAAGTCCTTTGCCTACTAAATCCTATATCTGAGCCCATTCTGAGACTTTTTCTATTGACTGCCTTTTCCCCTGATTATGGACTGCATAATGTTTCTGTCAAAAAGTAGACTTTTTAAATAATATTTTTGTAGCAGATCTGTATTTTGACAAGTTTTTTCTTCCCTAAAGGTTGTTTTTATTTATGTTTTATTTTGTTTGAACCTATGGACTGCATCCTCCATGGCTGCTGATTCCTCTGCTAGGGATTACCCTGTGTCTGCATAGCTTTGTTGTTCATCAGTGATTGATCAAAGGGTGTACTCACACACTTTGAGCCAATCTGTGCTGATGGAGCAGTTTGTGGGTCGGGGACCACATTCAGGGTTCAGGCAACTTTAAAGTCTGTACTAGCTTTAAATTTCTGCTGGGCCCTCTTGGGTCTCCCCTATGGGATAGCTTCCTAGTCAGCCAGAAATATGCGGAGAGTTTACCCTCTCTCTCTAATTTCCATTTTCTGTTCAATTTCTTGCTAGACCACCAGTTTGCTGCTTACCCCTACCAAGGTCACACTTCAGATTACCAAAGCTGGACACTTCCCCGTTCTTTTCCTACAGTTTTTTTTTTTAAATTGACAACGTCACTTATTTGGGGTTCTTTGGTCTCTCCTTCAAATCAAGTCAGCCCTCTCTGGCAGCAGAGATGCTAGTTGTCATGGCCACACCTACCTTGATAGAAAGAAGTAGTCTACTGACTGAACTATGGGGGAATAGGAGCAGCACCAAGCAAGACCACCACAGACTCCCACTGTTCTTTTGCAAAGTTCAGCATTTTTTTTATGAATAAATGTTTCTCAGTTTGTTGTTTGTGATTGCTGAGTTTTCAGAGCCACAAAGTTGTTTTTGACAATTGTGTCCAGCTTCATAGTTGCTTCTTGGGGAGATTTGCTGACTTACTTATTCCTCCATCACTAGAAGTCCTATCTCACCTGGCAACTTTTAAAATGGCATGTTCACTTGCTGAAGTTCCACTTAAGGTACCATTCTGTGGATCATGTGTACCATTTTGGTATAAATTTTGGGTCTCTGGGAGTCAGAAAAGTCTGTTCACCATTCCATCCAGTCTGCCTACCTTGCTCTACAATCTGTCATCTCAGTCCTGTTTGAGATAAGGAACAGTACACTTCAACAATGATTGCTAGTAACTTCTTTGTGTATTCCCCTCTTTTGAAAATCACCTAAGTGGTATCTGACACTTTTGTAAGGCTGAGTTTAATGGAAGTTTATATATAGTTAATTTATAAGCTTCTTTATAAATAAAGATGTATAAAGAATTATATTTTGTCTCATTCATAACACAGAATGTTTAAATGGTTAACATTTGTGCTGCAGTATAGCTTTCTGGCTCATGAAAAATGAAAGCTATCAGCAATCTGGGCAATAAGATTCATCGCCAATAGTCACTAGCAACAGCACACAGCATTTTAATATCAGTGAGGTCCACAGCTAGCAGTAAGAGCTGGTGTAATTGAAAGACGTTTAGGTGCAATCATTCTGCTGTTTGTTCCTTGCCAGGTTCAACATGGGATTGTGTGAGTATTTGAAGAAAACAGCAATTTTTTTTATATCTTTGAAATAAGAAGGGTAGATAAATGCTTAAATTTGAGAAACATGGTAATTTTAAAATCATGTGGCTCTAAAATAAAGAGGTATTTTATTTGTCTTGATTCGAGCTTTAGAAAAGCTACTCCTTGGTTACAAGTGAACCAATAATTCTGGTCTAATGTTGCCGTGGTAACAACTCATGCTGATATAATTGAGAACATCTTATACATCCTGGTTCGAATATTTTCTCCCTGCCATTTTGAGTTGTTCTAGGAGTATATGAAGAAGCCTAGGATAATTAGCTTAAAAGACATTAAATCTGGTTATATACATTTTGGGCATCAGTTTGATGTTTGCTAGTGATATCTCATGCTGTGCAGTTATGCTTTGCTTCTAGGGGCTTTTCTTTCTAAAACAATAGAAAGCTCTTTTCATTCTCTGTGTGCTGCATGTTCCAGTGTGTGTTTACACCATCGGCTTCTACCTCTAGAGATTAGCATAACTCCCTTTGCTGTTCGATTGTTGTTTTGAGCAATATGTTTTGGAAAGGTTGGTTTTCATCATGAGTGGTAAGTATGCTCTCTGAGACTCTGCAGCTATCTATTTTTTAAAAATATTTAATTATAAGAGGAAAAATATATTTTAAAGGAGTAGTTTTAAAGCCAGAGCTACAGTGAATTACATGTTCTATTGATGCTTTTGCATTATACTAATTTGCTTTTAAAATCCATTAAGAACTGTGAAAATTAATACTATTAATAGTCAGTGCCAATAATCAGTTCCTAAATTTCTTTAGGTTTGATTTGCTGTATTTATTAGGTACAGCTGTTATTAATTGTGTTATAAATTAGTGAATGAAAGACCCACCAGCATAAGAGGAATTTTTTTATAACTGATCCTGAAGATAAACTTTCTTTTTATTAGCTATGTCATTCTAATATTAATTTTTGTTAGTTTCTTTTTGATTATATAATAAATACTAATCTTGAATAAAATGTCAAAATGTTATTGGTTGCTTTTATATACAATTCATTGAGAAATAGAGATTTAATGATTAAATAAATGTATATTTTTATTTTGGAGGCTTTGTTAAAATTTTTCAGAAATAATATTTTAGGGAAAATCATTTGTTAGAATAAGTATTCATGTGATAATTGGTTTCATTTTTGTTTTTATAAGATGACATTTTTTTTTAGTATTCTAAAAATGGTTTTTGAGAAAATACACTATAGTATACACTACAGTTTATCATAGGGTGAAAACTATTCACTTTAAGCCAAACCTGCACCTAAAATTAGATATCCTGTTGTTAGTGTGAGAAATATTTGCTCAGAGCATAATTCATTAGTGTCTTCTTTTAGCTTAACTAAAAATGAAGATTTTTATAAGTTAACCTTTTAATCAGATTTGTAAAAGAAGTGTTACATGTTTTTTCTTAAAACAGTCTATAATTTACACTTAAAAGATTTGGAGTTGGAATTCAGAAACTGAGAGAGTTAAATTTTTGCTGTATAATGATAGAGTTCAAAATAGATGAACCTTTCATCTATAACTGAAGATCACCTCATTATTGCCACTAAGTATTTTTTATCCTGCTACAATATAACATAAACCTCATCCACACTGTTATATATTTGTTCTTGGAATGATATTAGACTTTAAAAGAATCTTTTTATATGTAAGATATTAAGAATTAATTGTTATTGTTATTGTTATTTTCCTGTTAGTAGATAGATATTTCTGATCTAGTTTTTTAAATTTGGGCTAGTATTACAAAATCCTTAGGATTTCTAAGTCAACATTTCTTAGAATTTCTATGGGTATCAAAACTGGATATAGCTGGTTATCATACTTAAAACATTAGCTCTCTCTGAATCCGGCCAATATGTGTTTTCTCTTTGAAAGTTTAGTATATAACAGAATTTCTACCACTGTGGTAGTGTAGAGGTTTTACAATTGGAAGTATTGGTTTTAGCTGAAGAAAATTGTTGTTGCTTTTTTATTATCTTATTTCTTTTTCAAGAAAGCTATGGATTAGTCAAGATAGTATTTTATGTACTTGACCATATCAGTATGCCCTTATAGACTTTTCTACTATATAGGAATCAGAGTAATCGCAACTTGACATTCAGACTTTTTCAGGATTGTTCAATTTTTACTCATGTTATAGGTGGTTAAATGTTTAGCCATTTCAAATGTGAAAAATTGCAAATGGAGTATGGTTTTATTGGTAAAATAAGCAAATGCTAAGTCTATAGCTATCCATGTGGTATTTATGTGCATGTGGTACTCTTCCATTTAAAAAGCTCCTCCTTTTCTCCTTCCTGCCTATTAGGTGTTAGTTTTCTTAGGAATCCGTCGTTGTCCCTCTTTTAATGCTACATTCTCTCTGAATGATTTCATCCGTGACCACATCTTCATTCGTTACATGAAAATTGAACTCAAAAGTGAATTCTCCCTTTTCATCCCAGAGCTGCGCCTTTTTCATGGATTCTGATTTTTGTTAATGATCTCACTGCTCGTGCAAGAACTTAAAACAGAAGCCTTATAGTCACTTTTAACATGTTTCTTACCCCTCTTACCCCAAACATGCACGCAGTCGTTAATTTCTACTGCGTCTGCATTAGAAATGGCTCAGAAATCCCTGTTTTTTCCAGTCTTGCTGACACTGGGAAAGCTATTGAGATCAGGATTCTGTATCTCTCAATCCTATTAAAGTAATTGCTTCACTGTCTCTCACTTTTTAATTTTATATCCCTTCAGACCATTTTTTCATGCTGCCATTTCTTAAATATAAATATACCCATTTCTTCACCTAACATAAAACTTTTTGTTACTCTTATTGTCTCTCAGATAAAGGTTAAACTCTTTAGTAGGGCATATAAGATCAGTGACCTACCTTTCTGACTTTATTTGCATGTCTCATAAAATCCTGATCTAGTCATACTATACTACACTACATATTATTCCTTGCTACCTTTCTATATTTATATCATATCATAAAAACTCTGAAAACCACCTTTGCTTTTTAGTGCCTCTGTCATTGACTTTATAGAGTTAGATGATCCTCCTGTACTCCCAAAATAAGCTTATAAACTATAACAATTATTTGAATTATAATGAAATTATATAGTAGCATGTCAGTTTCCAATCTCCAACCTTTGAACTTCTTGAGTCAAGGAGTGTCATGTTCATCTGAGTGTTTCTGGTAGTTACTCCAGTGCCTCAAACATAGTAGTGAACTCATAAATTCTTGTAGAATAAGTGAATAACTAAAAATTACTCATTTTTTACATATTTGAACACTTAACATTATCAATGAAAAATATCAGCCATTTAAAAAGAATTTTTTTGGGTTCATATGCTTATTGGAACATATACCATCATTATATCAACATTCCAAATGAAAACTCTGATTGGTCCACCTATATTTATGAATTACAGAACAGTTATAGACTTGAGTACAAGCACTTAATTAATTCCCTTTTCTAGATCTTTACTGAATATGAAAGAACACAAAACGGGGAAAACAGTGTGTCAGCTCTGAAATTAAGAAAGGATACTTCCCCAGAAATGTACAGTATCAGATTGACGGTCAGACACCAAAGTTTAACTAGCAGTTTTACTTTAAGTAGCTTGCTTCAATGAAAAGAAATAAACAGTAGTTTCACCTTCACTAACTTAGAGGGATGAGGCTTTAAGAAAGACTGTTAGGGAAATAAGTGGCAGATCCATTATGCTGATTACTTTCATTTAAAACAGTTATAGTGGGACAACCAAAAATTTAGGCTATTCCAAGTTGAAAAAGTGGCCTTTCTTCATCCAGATGTGACAGGGCTCTTCCATGAAGTGGTGGAGATCACCACGTGCATGAAACCCTGTCGTCCTGGCTTCATTCCCATTTCAGAAAGTCCCTGGATTATTTAACTGTAATGTACATATGTATCAACTAAAAGATCTGTGAAGCTGATTCTAACACACCCAAATAAGAGATGAGATGACCCACCTTATTTGGGGGACATTTTAAAATTCTGAAAGGCTCCTTATTGTTTATAAATGAGTAAACAAGACAAGCAACAACATGGAGCCCATGAAAAATTGTATGTCATTAAAGGATAAAATCACAGCCTTCATAGTAGAGAATGAAGTTACGTTTAGAAAATATTTGTGGGGGAGGATTTAAGAATAAGAAATTATAGCTAGCATCTATGTTGAATTAAAATTTTCAAGTGAACATAAAATTTATGAAATAAGACATGAAAGATAACACAAGTGACTAGAATGAAAACAGCTGGTTAAGAGGCAGGAATGAGAAAAGAAGCAATATCATTAAGGTTATAAGTAAATGGACCTGGCATTTGCAGAATCTAAAGCTGAATTAGAGGCAATAAAGATTAAAATAATCACTACAGGAAAGGGAATTAATGATGTGAAGATCTAGCTTCATAAAACCTACCAGAATGTAGGAGAAATGGACAGGATAGAAATTTTGAGATGAAAATCTTCTTGGATAAAAGTAGGAAACTCTACCAATTGAATGAATAGCATTCCCAAAGAACAGATAATGACTAATGGAACAGAAGCAATAATAAAAGATATATATGATTCAGGAAAACTTCTTAGTTGAAGAAAAACTTGAATCTGTAGAATGAAGGAGCTCATTGTGTTTTGACAAAGATTAACAAAAGAAACCAACAGCTAAATATATCCTGATGGAAGTTTTGAACTTCAAGAATAAAAAGAAAATGAATTTCACAACTTTCAAGTCTCTTTGCATCTTACACTTAACATAAGGTTTGTTTTATAAAGAAAAAGATTTAAAAATTGGAGACTAACTTGAAAATCCTTCTAGAGCAAAAATCAATGAAGATACAACAGCACCTAAAAATGCTTAATAAAATATGGCAAGCATCCTTTTAAATGAATACCTGAACTTACAAGAATATAACAGAATCCCCTAGTGTGCAAAAAGTGAAATGGTAAGAGAAAACCAGAGCTTAGAAGGGAGCATACTTGGACTGCTCCAAGTAGATTTTCATACCTTGGTAACTAAAAGGCTTTGGTTTTAAATGGCCCCACAAAGACAGAAGACAATTTCTTTGATCCATGCAACGTGGGATTTCTTAGACCCCTATATAAAAGCAGGATCCTCAAAGAATTACAACCTCAGTGAGAAAATAGATTAGAAATTAAAACCTCTCTGCTGACATGGAGAAAACAAAGAAGCTCGTGTTTTTTGGCTTGGGTTCCTAGGACAGGAGGGGTGTGCACTTGTGTGTGGGCTGCCTCTCCTGAGAGTTTGTAATCATTTCTTTCTCCTCCAGTGGATTTCAGGTTTTAATTTGTATTAATTGTGTGTTCTGGAATCCCCAATTAGACAAAACAGCTAAATATATCCTGATGGAAGTTTTGAACTTCAAGTGATTTACAATCTTTTACATCTCATGGCACACATAAACTAATTTCTGAACTTCTGTGACACACCAAAAAATATATTTCTTGCTAATCTGACTGGGGGAAAAGAAAAAGGTATAATTTTGATTCATTCACACTGGGTGGCTATTGTTGTATTGGCAGTTGTCATTTTTTTCACTTGATAATCTAAGGGAAAAGAGGTCAGTGTTCCTGACTAAATAGTCAGGTATTGCATGTTATAAACTTTTTTGTGGCACACACACAACAACAGTTGAAAACTTGCTGGGATAAAATACATTATTGCAGCAGTCCAAGGCTAATAACATTCACTGGATGCCAGGCAGAAGCTAATATAAAACATCTTCTAGTCAAGCCCTGCAGGTTCTCAGATAAAGCCCCATTGAACTTTGAGTTCACAATCCCAAATCAGCGCGTATGCACACACACACGCACGCACGCATCTATAAATGATATTCAGCAGGTTCAGCAGGATTAGACCCTCTCAGGAACATCAGAGAGTAGCTCTGTCACACACAAACTACCATTTAAAATCAATAATCACATAGAAAAGAAATATAAATCAACAGAAAAAATTATATGCACCTCTGACAAAGCTTCAAAGTATGTAACACAAAATATAATACATATATGTTATATATGTATTATATATATACATATATATAATACATATATATATGTATTTTTTTTTATCCTCACACGAGGACATATTTCCATTTTTGTTCAGATAGAGAGGGATGGAGGGAGAGAAATATCGACGTGAAAGGGACACATCGAGTGGCTGCTTCCCACACAACCCCATCCGGGGCAGGGGACAAACTGCAACTGAGGTACATGCCCTTAGCGGGAACCAAATCCGGGTCTCTCTGTACCGCAGGCTGATGCTCCAACCACTGAGCCAAACTGGCCAAGGCAAAATATTTTAAAGAATTTATATATAGCCCTGGCCGGTTTGGCTCAGTGGTTAGAGCGTCGGCCTGCGGTCCGGAGAGACCCAGGTTCGGTTCCCGCTAAGGGCACATACCTTGGTTGCAGTTTGTCCCCGGCTCTGGTTGGTCGTGCGGGTGGCAGCCACTCGATGTGTCCCTTTCACATCGATGTTTCCCTCTCTCTCTCTTCCTCTCTCTCCCTCCCACTCTATCTGTACAAAAAATGGAAAAATGTCCTCGGATGAGGATAAAAAAAAAAAAAAAGAATTTATATATAGGCTGTGGTGTCTAACCACAAAGCAATTAATTTTAATGAATAATAAAAGACTAATTAAACAAACATATAAAGTTATATCAGGATTTTAAAAGTTCAAATAACTCGCAGGTCAAGAATTAACTCAATATGAATTTAAAGTTCATCTATGCATCAAAACTTGTGGGGTGTGGCTAAGGTGGATTCAGAGACAACCTTTTTTGAGAGAAATGTTATAATATATCAGGAAAGGAGAAAGATATTCATTATGTAAGTATTCAAGTAGACAAAGTACAGAAAGCACAGTGTAGTTAATCAAAAGAGAGGAAACTCATAAAGACATGAGGAAAAACCATTGGAATAGAAAATAAAGGTATGTGAGAGCCAAAGGTGGGTTCATGGAAAGGAATTAAAATAACTGATTAGAATTATACCTATTTAAGATTTCATCAGTTAAAAAGCCTTATTCAAAACTTATTAAAATCAGGGCTGGACTGTTTTACAATCAAGTTCTAGGAAATAGTCAAAGAACAAAAAATTCAGTCTTGTACAAAATCTTCCAAAGAATTGCACTGGCCGGTTTGGCTCAGCGGTTGTAACGTAGGCCTGCGGTACAGAGAGACCTGGGTTCGGTTCCCGCTAAGGGCGCGTACCTCGGTTGCAGTTTTTCCGGCCCTGGTTGGTCGTGCGGATGGCGGCCACTCGATGTGTTCCTTTCACATCGATGTTTCTCTCTCTCTCTCTTCCTCTCTCTCCCTCCTGCTCTATCTGAACAAAAAATGGAAAAATGTCCTCGGGTGAGGATAAAAAAAAAAAATCTTCCAAAGAATTGAAAAAGCAGAGATACTCTTAAATTTATTTGACTCTAGTATAGCTTTACAAGTAAGGTGTGGAAAGAGAAAATTAGAAACATTTTCTCTGAAGTTAGAAATAAGAAAAGAGTGCTCATTGTCTGTTTCTGTAATGTTAGCCATAACCTGTACATAAGACAAGAAAATGATGGAAGGGAACAAAACTGTTATTATTTATAAGTGATACATGACTGTCTATATAGAAAATTCAAGAGCACATATTAATGTTATTTTAGAATAAATAACAGAGTCTGGCAGCTTTACCAGATATAAGATAAATATATAAACATCAACAATGTATTATACATTAGCAACATACGAACAGTAATTTCTAAAGATCAACCAAAACTCTAAGAACCTATGTATAATCTAATAAAAGACTAATAAGACCTTTAAGGGGAAATTATAAGATTCTAAGATATTTACCTAATCTTTAACAAGAAGATATGATTGAAAACCCATTAGATTAGCAAAAGTTAGAAAGCGTGACATTTTATGAGGATATGGATCATCAAGGATATGGTGGCAAAATAAAATGGCATAATCATTTATCGACCTACTATTACTGTCTAGTTAAGCTGAAAATGTGTATACCCTATCACATAGGAATCCACTTCTAGCTTTATACTGCCTGTCAACAAGGCAGAATATTTGAATTTAGAACCACATTGAAAATCTTTAGCACATGTAATATTCCTCTAAGAAAAAGCCTCAGTGAACAATTAAGGAAGTAAAATACATTTCAAAGAAAATTTCAAAGACTGCCTGAGTCATTAGTTTTATGACTATATATTTAGCTTAAGTTTTTATTACAAAATCCTATAGGGAACATCTCCAATCAAACATGGCTTGAATGGCCTAGAAAATCCACAGCATCTCTAATAGAGAGCAAGTTGGGAGAGAAAGTGTATACACATCATTAGTTGTGAATAGTACACTGTGGATTCATAGTATATCCATCTGGCCGTGTAGACACCAGTCAAGTTAATATGTTTCTTTTTATAATTCGATCATTTAAATATATGTTTCACCAAAAGTTTTTATACTTTTTTTACAGTTTAGTGAAAGTTGGTCAGTTATTTTGTTCACTTGCAATTAAGATTTGACAAAGAATTAACTAAAAAGAACATAGTAAGGGAAAGAAAAGTAAAATAAATATCACAATAGGAAACGTAGCTTTTATTGCCTGTTAAATTTCCAAACATTCATGTGTGACTTTGTGTACGACCTCTTGATATCTTAAACAACAAAATAGGCATGGTCCAACCTACTGAACTGCACAAATAATTTGAAGTAATTAAAGTTTTTTGTACCCACTATCATTTTTAAGGCTGCAGTGAATTTGCTTTGAATGAACATGTTTGAATATGGTGATGCAAATAAAGTGTCCCTTCAGCAAAGTGAACACAATTGCTCTTCAGATTAAAAAGATGAATATGACATTTCATTAACACATTTATAGAGTAAGGTTTTGTTGGTTAAAATATATTTATCTCCAAAGAATGTGTTGTGATCCTTCTATAAAACACTTTTGAACATGTATGCTCAAGTATTTTTATTCTATTTGTGTATGTAAATGAACATATACTAATGAACATATATGAATGAATAACTTCTTCTGGGTCTGTTATTGTATATGTTATTGATCTATTTAATTTATTCTTTTTGATCAAGCATGCAAATCATCAGAAGCATCTGGTAGGAAACCACCTTTTACAGAATAATTCTGTTACTTTGATTGCTATGAGCTGGGTTTTTATGAGGAATGTTGTGGCAACTAGAATGTTTTATATTTAGTTTACTGAAAATATTTGTAGTATAGCATGTGTGTGGGTGTGTATTCTTAGAAATAACAAATACAGAACTCTAAAGGGTGGGTGTTTGAAGTAAGGGTGGCAGAAAACAAACTTACAGTCTCCTGAATTTGCATTGCAGAGGTTTTGAAATGTTCTTTGTTGATAGAACCTGGCATTTTTATAGGTAATTTATCTGTTTCCATCCTGTTTTGTGCTCTCTGATATACACTAAATAACTATTAAATAGAATAATGCTTTTATTAAGGCAAAGGATGAAAATAATTTAATTACAATTTGATTAGGGAGCCCATAAATTTTAATCTATTCATGAAATAATTTTAAACTATGATTACAAAAAAGATACTATTAAGAAACATAATTGCTTTAGTACCTAATACTTGCTTGTTCCTTAGTAGAAAAATTTAGAGGGATAGCCCCCTCCCTTACTTACTACATAGATAGTCATCAAGGTTTAAAATATTCAGGCTTCTAACCCACGTTTGCCCCTCCTTACTCTGGCTCCCTTTTTCCTTAACAAGTGATCTTGACTCCTATTTCCCAAAAGAAACAGAGCCTAGTAACTATGGATAACTTAGTTTATTCTCATTACTTCTCACACATTGACAAGCATCACCATGGCAAACACTTATCTCCATGATTGGACACTTGCTTGCCTATACACTTGACCTCCCACTGCTGCTGTAAACTTGTACCCTGTGCTGCACCTATTACAAGTCAGTTGACATTTCCTAGATAAACCATGTGTCTTCCCCCATGCCTTTTATACACGATCATCCCAGCTTGAATGTCTTCTTCGTCAACTCATATGCCAAAGGAACTCTATCCTTCAAGATTTAACACAAATGCTGTGTCTGCTATTTTGCCTTACTTTTATCACCCAATATTTTCCTCTTTCAAGCTTGCATAGCACCTTACAATTTTCTTAGTTGTCCTTGTCACATTCCAGTATAATGGTTCTGTCTCCCCATGAGCTTCTCATCTCCTTAACTAGTGGAGATGCATTTATTCTTTGTAGTGTTCCTAGAGTCTAACTCAGTTTCTGGCACCACTAAGCAGTGCTCAATAAATGTTGCTGAAAAGATTGCTAAACCAGCACCAAGGAAGTAAAATGCCTGAAAGACACTAATAGCTTTCAGAAGGGAGTTGAAGTGTTATAATTCAGAGCGTCCTTCCTCAGTAAAGTTTTGAATATGTAACAAAAGTCCAGAGATGGTACTGCAATAGCTATAGGATGTGTATTTCAATATATGCTACTTAATATTATTAGCACTACTACCAATGAGTTAAAAGGTTTTGTTAGTAGTTTTAAGAAGAATTAGAATGGTATTGATTTGGGCTTTAAACAATAGTTATTGATTTTATTTCTTTACCATTTAATTTCAAAATGTCCTACCTGAATGTGTTCAGCCAAACAATTGAGTTTCTAAATTATTGTTTTATTACTGTATATAATATTCTGGGGAAATGTGTACAGCTGATTTCATGTGTTTTTATGAGTGTCATTTAATCATTGTTTTATTTTTGGATACAAGCTTGCTCCTCTTCAGAAGTATCTGGTAGGCTACTAACTTCTTTTTAATAATTTAAAAAAAAAAAAAAAAAGTTACCTTCAAAGATTTTTATATATTTGTTTACAAGTTGTTATGCTCCTGGTAAAGTTATATTTTTATAAAGTATATTGAGTTCATAAAACATTTCAGTTAATGAAGGAAATGGTGTGTTTGGTTTTATGTTGCTTTATCTATAGAAGTGACTTCTGTGGCGGTTTTTTGAGTGGTGTTTTAGAAACGACAGCGAGCACTGTGAAGCAGTGGGTGTCCACAGTGTAGCAGCAGACATGAGCACACACACTGAAATTAGATAACCTAGGTTAATGAATGTTTTTTTGAAGGAATATACTGTTATAAATTTTGATTAAAACAGCTGACATTTAATTATTTATCTGGGAAGTTTATATTCTATTGGGTTCTATTTTCAGTTTGTCCCTTCTACTTTTCCAACATCCACCATAAAAGTTAACTAATATTGTGCTTTTATTGTAAGAAGGTGTAAAGGATAGAGGTGGCATTTATCTTTGTACAAAGACTTAAGAACTCAACATCTGAAGTAGTTGTAATCTGTGTAATAATAATTTTCAAACTCTTCTTACAAAACATGAATGATCACCTCTTTTAAGCATTGGATAAGGACATGCTGTAACTGACAACATGCTCTTTTTGTAATGAGCAGTAATGTATTTATTTAACACAGAACCCAGAAACACCTCATAAATAAATCTAAGTGTCATTAATAAAGCATTCTTATTCATTATAGGATTATCTGAATAACATGGAACAAAGCTGTGCCATACTTGCATTTTTAATACATTTCTTAATGTTTAAAATGAACTTAGTATTTTTATACTGTGTCCTATGTATAAACATATTCAAAAATATTTTGAGGGTGATACGAATTAAGTTTTTTAATGTGCTTGTGGACATGCATCAAAATTGGCACTTTGTTTCTAGTTGCTTCATCCCGCGAATGTGGGTAAACCTTTCTACAAACCAGCCCTGAGTGAACAGAGACAATCCTTTGGTAGGCTGATTTCTTTAGAATGCAATGCGATAGACTTTTTAAATAATTCAAACTGAAGAGAAACTAAGTTTATTTGGTAAATAAATATAACTGAAATGTACACCTGTGAGAAGAAATTGAGTTATTATGTGATGTGTCTTTCTCATTTTTGTAGTACCTAGTTTGCTCCATTATTAATCAGTATGTGAAAAAATCCTTCCTTGAGACATTTTTTTCTAATCATCATTAGATGCTTTGTAGATAGGGACCATGATCATGTAGCTAAGAAGTATTAGAGCCAACATTCTAATTCAGATGCACCCAGCTCCAAAACCTATGGCTGTGTCAGGATATCACAGTGGTTTAAATGGTAAAACAGAGATATAGCTTATCTATTAGAACACAACAAGAAAACCAAAACACTGAGAACTTTTAGTATATGCTTTATAGGGAACTCTAGATTAAATATGCTGTAGGGTTTTAATTTGGCTGTCTCTTCCACCACTTATTTTATTAATCAGCTGCCAATACCTTATGTCAGTGGATATAAATTTTAAAAGTAACCAGATAAAGCATTTAGAAAGTTAAATTCACCACTGTCTAAAAATAATAAAATTCAAAGCAAATACCCATGGTTCTGGACTGCCTATTGTTGTAGAGGTATTTATAACGTAGCATGTTGTGAACTACCTTATTTTTGGTGTCTGTATTTATAAGATGTATATTTTAGTTAACATATCTTTACAAAGAGTTGTTCATTTTTGCATGTAAATAGTACACATATAAACTAGAAATTTCATGTGTTTATGTATTCTTATATGACAAACAGTGCTTCAGAAACCAAGTTATCTTCATGGAACTCTTTAGTGACATTATAATTAACGCTTAGTTTTTACTCTAAAATAGGAATCTCTATTTATTGAAATAATTCACAAAATTTAGTATCTTTGATTCATACCTATTTCTGATTACTTTATATAAGACTTATGAGAACTGTTACTTTCTATAGTGCTAGTTAATAGTAAAGTAGGAGTATTGATGAGTACACAGAATAGGAGTATTAATGAGTACACAAGGAATTTCCTGAATACCCTGTTAGTGAATAAAATTAAGTAGTGCCTGAAATTTATCCTCTAGCTCATTCACCAAGCAGGGAGAAGGAAATTTTCTTTCAACTTACCATCTTTGCCAAATAACTGAGTGTTCTTCCTTTGACCAGTTGTTTTCTTAACTCCATATCCATTTAACAGTAAGTGGCAGAAGAAGCTGGAACAAGATGTCAGGGACTTTTTTTTCTTTCTCTGATTCTCTTCCTTGTCTCCAAATTACCTACACTCAGGCAGGCATCTGGAGAGTTTGTACTGCAGCTTGATGTGCAAGTCTATAAATAGAAGATAACTAAAAATATTTTTCAAAAAAATTAGAGGTATATTTTGGGAATTACAAGTTGTTTCTTAAAAGCCACTGTTGCATTTAGCCATGAATTATGTTTTAAATTTATTTTATAGCTGTTATTTCCAAGTCAGTGTCTGCTCCATGCCCCCCGCCCCCCCAAATCTTACTTATAAAACTAGTTGTGCCCTGGCCGGTTTGGTTCAGCAGTTAGAGAGTCGGTCTGCGGTCCTGAGACACCCGGGTTCGGTTCCGCTAAGGGCGCGTACCTCGGTTGCAGTTTGTCCCCGGCCCTGGTTGGTCGTGCGGGTGGCAGCCACTCGATGTGTTCCTTTCACATCGATGTTTCTCTCTCTCTCTCTGTTCCCTCTCTCCCTCCCACTCTACCTGAACAAAAAAATGGGAAAATGTCCTCGGGTGAAGATAAAAAAAAAAAAAAAACTAGTTGTAACTAGTACATTAACTTTTAGAATTAGGATGACTTAAACCACCCTAAACTCAAATAAAATGTAAGAATTTTCCACTTCCTAATGCACCTCCAGAAGGAATTAGATCAATTTGCATAATTACAGGCAATTATGATTTATTTTGGTGGATGAGATTTTCACACAATGAGCAAATTCTAATTTCAGAAATTATTTTTCTCAAACTTTCTAAAATAGGTGTTTTGAGAGTATTTTAACAGCAAAAATGCAAAGGACGGTTTATATAAAGTAGTAATGTCTGCTCTTGGTGCCTGTCATCCCCATTTTGAAATCTTAAAAGGTTTACAATGTCAGTAACCTTTTTGGTTGATAGCAGTATTTTGTGAAAGGTGCTAACTGGGGATCAAGGAGAATAATACATATTGTGTGTCTTAAAATGCCTCACTTTAATACTACTGCATTATTAAATGATCTTATTAAAGAATTTGTGAGGCCCTCACTTCCACTTTAAAATCTCTTTTCATTAGGATCATCATCACCTACCACTATTATTATCACTATTAGTATTTCTGAAATAAATACCAGTGTTCTGCTGTATGTTCACTTTGTATAGCCTTTTACTATTTGAGCACTACTTAAATACTATTTCTTCTTTATTTATAGATTCACATATCAGAGAAATATTGGGAACTTTCTGAACAAAAGACTGAAATAGTCAGGTTTTACTTGCATACCTAACTAGGAAGAATACCTATTGTTTATGCCATTTTATCTCTCTGGAATTTCTTTTGTTAGTAGTTTTTAAAAATGAAGTTGGTTGTAAACAGAAATCATTGTCAATAACCTTGTGGAAAGCCAATGAAAACGAGGAATCTTTTACAGTGATTTATCATTTAATAAATCTAAAACTTCAACACATAGCACTGTAAAATAATGTGGCTATCATTAGTCACTATATAAGAATCTGGTTTTCAATTGCTTTACTTCATTGTTCATTTGAAATTACTCACTCAGACACATAGTTTTGCTCCCAATTTAGAATGAGATTTTAAGCTCTTTGGGTGTTTTGTTTGTGGTATTTTGTTATGTTTTGTTTTTAAGTCTTTGTGGGTATTCTTTATGTATGAGTCTGTGGTAGAGAAAATACAAATCTAATAACAAATTCTTCTACCTGAAAATAGCCCTTTGTCAAAATCGATTACTTTTGAAACTCCACAAAGCAACAAGTTCGAATCTCCAGATGTTGTCAGTTCTTAAGTTTAAAGGCTCTGTTGTGCTTTTAAACTATGACTGCTTTTTTATTTACAGTAATTTTTCTAGATTGTTCTAACCTTTTTACATTGCTTCTGGGTATGTTTTCAGGAACGGTATTTTTATTATTAGATTTAAAAACATCGAAGTAATCTCCACATAGAAAGATGTTAGACATTTTTAGAAATTTGAGAAAACGTTCACTTCATATTTAAAGAAACTGAATAGCTCTCTAAGAGTGTGTCATGGTTGTAAATACATGTTTTACAACAGCCATAGTTGACATAAGTCTCTGTTTTTAAAGCACATATGTTAATATGTAATATGAGTATTGTTAGAAGACAAATTTATTTTTATTTTTATTTTTTAGTGAAAGAGTTTCTAGCCAAAGCCAAAGAAGACTTTTTAAAAAAGTGGGAAAATCCTGCTCAGGTAAGGAATATTTAAATTTTTCTGATTTAAAAATCCTGTGTTAAGTAAAGTCATGATTCTTGCTCAAATAATTTACTACTTTCAGAAGCAAGTAGCATTAATAAATGTATAGTAAACATGGTAATTTTCGCCATAACATCATTTTGATTTATTAATAATTGTATGTATACTTAAATCGGAGAAGGAATTATTTTCCAGTATAATACCTGATTATAAATTTTGATAATTTCAGGCTGCTACAAACTCATGATATTTTCTAATATAGTAATTTTGATTTATGCCTATGCTAGCATATTTATTATTTTTATCAATTACAACAATAGGGATTCTTTTGTGCCATTTCAAATTCTTAATCGCAAACACTTGGCTGTTGATAACATACCAAACACAGGAGCCTTTCATAAACATTTTGATGGGGTAAGTGTTATATAATTTAAGTACTTTAGATCTTAGCTAAGATCTAAAAACTGTATATAAAAAAGTCATCTATACTTGTCAAAAAAGTCTCTTTTTGAAGTTATAAATAATTAGTGAAGTTTAATAGTAGATTAAATTTTGAAAACCTTTTTCCTAGCACAAAAATCTTTTACTTCAAGTATTTTTTTCACTAAAAAATGTTTAATTTTAAATTAATGTTATGTTTTATGAAGATGTCATCATTAACCAAGATTTAGAGCATGACCTACAATTTAAAACATAATCACTCTGGTGATTACAAAAAGTTAGACATTATCTAACATGAAACAGAAGAAAGTGAAAAGCAATGACTAGCAAAAAGAGATGTTCTGTGGTCTACTAATGAAGTTTGTTTTCATTATTTAGTTGAGAACTGATATTAAACGTTTCAATCTGTCTATGTTGATAAAACAAAAAAATATTCATTCAAAAATTTAAATAAACCAGTCAGATGTAGAAGGACTTTTTCTTTGCATTGACATAGAATCTCATGGCAATTTAAAATTATTGGAAATCTGAGCCCTGACCGGTGTGGCTCAGCAGTAGAGCGTCAGCCCGCGGACCGATGAGTCTTGGGTTAGATTCCGGGCAAGGACACTCACCTCTCATGTGGATGTTTCTCTCTCTCTCTCTCTCCTTTTCTCTCTCTCTCTCTCTCCCTCCCACTCTATCTGAAGATAAATAGAAAAATATTGTTGGGTGAAGACTAAAAAAATAAATAAAATTATTGGAAATCTGAAATTAAAATATGATGAAAACAAGTTTTATAAGTAAAACTTTAAAGTTGCTTGCTCTCTCAGTGACTCAACAAGAATCCAAGCTGTGTCTCCAAAGGCAAGGTTTGGTTTCCAATAGAGATGAAATCCAGTTAAGGTGGACTTCAGTAGCTATCAAGATTCCTCACTTACATAGAATCATATTTCATCACAAATTTTGTAAGCTCTACACTGTACAGACTGGAAATACTTTTTCTAAGAATTTCATGAAGATTTTTGTCATGAAAATCTATTACAAATGGGTCAGCAATTACTACTTATTGCTATTTAGCACATAATATGTTCCTAGTAATTTTCATTTTGTTGTGGCAGCGACAAATTCAATAGATTGATGTTTCCAGTGCTTTGCTTCTTTGCTATAGTCAAAGCCAAACAAAGATGTTTGCTCACAACAAAGCATCTATTCAAGGAGAAAAAGAGGCTGATTATTGTTCTGGGACTCTGACTCTTGGTTATCTTTGTGGGAATGAGGAACTCTTCTTTCCTATTGTTACTGTTTTAGGTAATACAATACTGGGTTATTATAACATCAGAGAAAAAGCTATTAGAATCTCTCATGCTGCTATCCTCTAGTTCTATAAGCTCTTATAAAGATAGAATGAAGTTATATGGTGCTTTCTCCAGAGGTAACTCCAGTGAAAGGACTCTGATCCCTCAGCTTATCTCTTCATTGCAATTATTTGCAAGTGTACTGAGACTATGGCTTTCATGACTGTATTTGTCAGTATACCTCTGGTCAGTTTGTAATTATTAAAATATGAAACTAGCCCAGGCCGGTTTGGCTCAGCGGTTAGAGCGTCGGCCTGCGGTCCAGAGAGACCCAGGTTTGGTTCCCGCTAAGGGCACGTACCTCGGTTGTAGTTTGTCCCCGGCCCTGGTTGGGTTGTGCAGGTGGCAACCACTCGATGTGTCCCTTTCACGTCGATGTTTCTCCCTCTCTCTCTCCCTGCCACTCTATCTGAACAAAAAATGGAAAAATGTCCTCGAGTGAGGATTAATAAAATAAAATATGAAACTAATTTGTTAGATGTCCAATATTAGGAATATGTATTGAAATATAACCTTTAATATTTCAGTTGAGGCTCTTATTTCCTCCCATTACTATTGTGCTTTGTTTTGCAATACAATTCTCAAATATTAAATCCTTTCTTATTCAAAGGAAAAAAGAGAACCAGTAACTTGGAATCTAGATAGTCTTTTGTATTATTTTTCAATGGATAGTTGTAAATTAAATTATCTATTCTGATTATCATGAAATCAATTATCATTGCCATAGTCTTATTATGAGAATTTCTAAATTTAAAGCTTATTTTATTTTTTATGTATGTGTAGAATAATGCCGGCCTGGAGGATTTTGAAAGGAAAAAAACTCTTGGAACAGGTTCATTTGGAAGAGTCATGTTGGTGAAACACAAGGCCACTGAGCAGTATTATGCTATGAAGATCTTAGATAAGCAGAAGGTTAGTGTTTTGTTGTCATAAAACTTCAGTTTTATCAGCTAAATTATAAATAGATGTAATAATTCAACTTAACCATTGATACCTTCAAATAATTGTATCATTGCATTTAATTGTCATTGTTATTATGACTGTATGATACATACAGTTTTAGTATATAGGCATACATTATTTCAATAATTATTTATACATAATAGGCATGTATATGTTTACTAACAAAATAATGAATTTAACGTATGAAGAACGGGCTTCTCTACTACATTCCGCCTTATGGAAAAATGCAGGAATAAATTATTCGATCCTTAGATTGAGGTAACAGAAATTTAATCATTTTATTTTATGACTTATTTTCATTGACAGTAGAAACCCTCTGTTTAGCATAATTGAGTTTGCTTAATTAAAAACATCAATTAAAGCAAGAAACATTTGAAAACCTATATACTATTAAAAATCAAATCATTGTTATACACTTGAAACTAATAAAATGTTATATGTCAATTATGTCTCAATTGAAAAATTAAAAATAAATTTTAAGTGTTTATCACATATTGGTATATATAAAGAATCAGGATATATGAATTATTAATGCTTAAATATATTAAGCTTCTCTTATCTTAGTAATCACTTATAATTAAGGGAAAATAGAAGAAAAATGACAAATCTTGATATATCATCTTATAGATATTATAGTCCCAAAAATGACATTTTGGTTTATGGGGATATATAGATAAGAAAATGTAGAGTAAACAGTCAGCTTTACAAAGTGTGGCCAGACAGTGATGCTCTCTAACAAATATAATATGAGCCACATATGTAATTTAAATTCTTCTAGTAGCCTTATTTTAAAAAAATAAAAAGAAATAGTTGAAATTAATGTTAATAATAGATTCTATTTAGCCCAGTGTATCCACAACATTATCATTGCAATATGTAATTAATATAAACATTGCTGAGATTTTATATTATTTTATCATACCAAGTCTTCAAAATCTGATGTATATTTTACATTCGCAATATATCTCCATTCAGGTTGGCCACACTTCAGTGTTAAATAATCACATGCAGCTAGTGGCTACCATTTTGGACAGCACAGCACTACGCTGGTCTGTGGTTCTAATCCAATCTCTGCTTTAAAACAAAAACCAAAGCTAACTGCTCACATGAAATGAGTAATGGCTTATTAAAAGCCTCCCTAAAATTAAACACACCCCATACACACATATAATTTTGCATCTTTGTCTACTGCCTTCTTTTATATAACTTTTCTAACCATGCTTCTTAAAAAAAAAATAGTTTAATCACTCTATCTACTAACTCACTTCCTGTTGATTCTTTAACCCACAATAATTTAGCTGCTTCCTTGTTTACCTCCTACCTCTTGCTACTTCACTAAAAAGTCTCTGCCTAGGGTCACCAATCCAGTGCCCTAATCACCAAGTCCAGTAGACTGTTTTTGCTCATCTCATGTGACTTTTGTAGAGTCTACGACTGTGTGGACCTCCCCACTGAAACGGCATTGTCCCTGGACTTCTGGATCCCTAGGCTCTTCTAATGATGCTCCTGCCTCTTTGGGCTCTTCTTCTTTATGTGGCTTTTTCTGTTTAACTTTATTTTATTTTTTCCTTTTATCTACTACTCTTTAGAGATTGCTAATCCTAATCTCCGGACTATTCCTTCTCATTCTCATGTTCTGTACACCTCCCTCTGTACTTTCATCCAAGCTTCAATTCATCCTGAGCTCTGCACTCCAGTGTGTACAATCTGAGCACAGAGCTCTTAGAGAGTAACCAGTTCTTGCTCTAATTTTCTAGATGAGGTAATTGGGTCTCAGACAGGGTAAGTGACTGGTATACTTGTATTAATAGCACAACAACAAAATGCTTCAACTTTACATTTTTCATTAAACCTGTTATTAAAACGTTATTATCTGTATACCCCCTAATATTTTATATTATCTTTCTTAAGGAATTAATAAGATGTGCTTTAGTCATAAAATATTAAAAGAATTATGAAAAGTGTATTTGTTCTTGAAAATATTTAGGGGAAAATTTTAAATTTCTTTTTTGGTGATGGTGAAAGAGTCTTTCCCAGAAGAATAGCTGCCATTTTAAGTCATGTTTCTATGGCAGTGATTTTCAACTGATATACTGCAAGTATTTTTAAAAATGCAATACCTGACTATTTAGTCAGGGGCACTGACCTCTTTTCCCTTAGATTATCAAATTTAAAAGTTACAACAGCCTGCACAAAAATAGCCGTCCGGTGTGAGTGAATCAAAATTATATGCATTTTTAGTCAGATTGGCAAAAATATATTTTTTGATGTGCTGCAGAATTTCAACAATTTATGTGTGCCATGAGGTGAAAAGGGTTGAAAATCACTGTGCTATGTCAGTGTTCTGGATCTATTCAGATTTAGGACAAAGTTTATTTAATTTGCTAAAACTAAGTAACAAATAACACTCCATAATAACTTATTTTCTGTTCATGAAGTCTCAGATCTTTCAATGAACCCTTTTTGGTTTCTTCTATCTTAATGGTGTATGGGGTGAGGGGAAGAAATCAATACAGAAATTAAGGAAATTCCATGTTTTTATTCCATCTATGCATCAAGCATTGCAAGGCACTTTATATTTAATGTGTCAATGAATCTTCACAACAACTTTGTGTGACATTAATTTCCCCTCTTAAGCCAAGAATGTCTCTATTTAAGTAATATTTTCAAAGTCAAACAGCTAGTAAGGGGAACCAAGAATTTGACCCAAGTTTGTCTGATTTCTATTCCTATACTTGTTAATTTTTCCTTTCAAATGTATTTGTTATCCCTAAGAGTTTTTCTGCCACCACCTAATTGGTCCCTCACTAACATTAACTGGGCTTTTACAATAACATCTTAATTAATTTCCACAATATCATTTTTCACCTTCTGCTAATCCACCTTCTTCGTTTCCAACAAATTGTTCTTACCATGTCCTGTCATCTCACTCAGAAAGTTTCCTGGGGTTTATTAAGTGAAGTCAGAACTCTGCAGCTTGCTTCACAGTTTTCTTCCAAGCTCCACTCTCGTCATATCTCACTGTCCCCTTACATGTCCTCTGTACTGTACTTCTCTCATTGAAACTGGACCCACAGAACTATATGGTGCTGTGCTGGGTTGGGAGGAGAGTATGTGATGATGGATGGTCTATTTTCCTTGTTAATATCTCCTCAAGTGCTGGCTTAAAAAATCAGCTGATAAGTAATCATTTTTAAATGCTTTTAAATATATGTACTTAAACCAACAGAAATATTAAGAAGTAAATATGTTATATGAATTTTGAAATAAAGCATGGACAGAACCCCCAGGGGTACTTTCTCTGCCTTTTAGGGATACTTCATTACCAGAATTTGACAGGCACTTTCCTAAGCTCTAGCCCAATGGAACTAGCACTCAGACTTACCTTTGCATATTTTCTCCTCTGAACACTTAGGATGTAACGCTCATGTGGCAGTCATTCTGTGTTGCTATTCATGTATTCATGCATCATACTTCCAAACAGAATGTATGCAGTATGAAGGCAAACATTATTTTGTCTTTATCTCTATTGCACTTATTATTATGCTTTATATGTAGCAGATATAGACATTTAAAATTAATTTAGATTTAATTGGTTAAATTTTTAATTAAGTTAATCTAAAAATTAAGCATATTTGCTTTGCCAGTTCATGTATCCTGTAATCATTTCTATTATTAATTGTTATGCCCCACATATGCATCATTGGCTTAGGGCTGTAATGCAGAAAGCCTCTCTGTTGCAGTTTTAATCACTTATTTTATAAGATAACACATTATCTGTGCCTGACTAATAGGCCTGCTATATCATAATATACAAAAGTAAATACTGTGGTACATTTAGACAATGGAATATTATTTAATGCTGAAAAGAAATGAACTATCAAGCCATCGAAAGACATGGAGGAAACTTAAATACATATTACTAAATGAAAGAAGCCAATCTGAAAAGGTTACATACTGTATGATTCCAACTATATGACATTCTGGAAAAGGAAAAACTGCAGAGACAATAAAAAGATCAGTGGTTACCAAAAGTTAATGGGAAGGGAAGGATGAATAGGTGGAGCACAGAGGGTTTTTAGGGCAGTGAAACTACTCTGTATGATATTACAGTGGTGGGCCCATGTCATTATGCATTTGTCCAAATAGATGTAGAACATCAAGAGTGAAACCTAATGTGAACTATGGATTTCAGGTGATAAGGATGCATCAATGTAGGTTCGCTGAGTGTAATAGCTATACCACTCTGGTGGGGAATGTTGATATTGGAGGAGGCAATGCATGTGGCAGGGAAGGAGGTATATGGGAAATCTCTGTACCTTCCATTCAGTTCTATTGTGAACCTGAAACTTCTAAAAAGTATATAGTTTATTAAAAAAAATAGTAAACACGAAGCAATATTAATTCTTCAGGTAGTGTTATATAATTTATTGTGATAAGTATGGACTAATTTATAACTAGTTAGAATGTAGACAGTGGTGATCCAGCCACTCCATGTTACAGATAAAAACTAACAAAAACAAAAAGAAAACCCTGATATCCTAAGAGTTAAAATAACATTTCCAAAGTCACAAAACTGATTGAATAGAAGACCTGGATTAGAACACCAATCTTCTGACTTTTTTTTTTCTTTATTGATTTGAGAGGAAGGGAGAGGGAGAGAGAGAGAAACATCAATGAGAGAGAACATCGATTGGCTGCCTCCTGCATGCCCCCCACGAGGGATTAGGCCCACAACCTGGGCATGTGCCCTAAGTGGGAATCAAACTGGTGACCTCTTGGTGCATGAGTCGATGCTCAATCAGTAAACCACACTGGCTGGGCTCTTCTGACTCTTAGTCAATTATTTTTATACTATAAATTTGTATACTAATTACTAGATGATATCTTTAGTTACCTTTCTTATCCATGTTCAATTTCTTGAATTCTGTGATTATCCCACATTGACAATAAGCCTCTATCAAGAAAGAATGCCACCTTCTAATGATTTACATACATGCAAGGCAATTATTTATATCTCCCTAAGGTCACCTTTTCTTAAATTAAAACTAGAATCACATGTGGAGTAGAATCGGTCTTCTTGGAGGCAGGATAAGTTGCTTTCCCCTGCTATGTACCTGATTGAGTAGACAATCCAGTAGATGTTTGATTAATCCTAAATGATCTATTTGCTATAAAGACATAGTCATTGTTTGGCCAATATTTAGTGTGTCCTCTTTTGTGGCTATACAGATTTTTAGGACTTATTCTTGTATTTATTCAGTTGTTATAAAATGAATAGATTGTTCATTTTTACCTAGTTTTTCAATAATTGTATTATCCTTAATTCTTAATTTTCTTGCTGATCAGAAGATTTAAATCAATACCTACTCCTTGCAGTGATTTGTGCCAGCTCCTTTGGTGGACTATAAGTCATTAGGAGCTAAGTATTTTAACATATTTTTTAAGTAATATATCATATGTCTAATTCTCCTTAGCTCTTGCTTCTTTACTGAAAATCATAGTTTGCCATCGTAAGACCTAGTTTTAAATCCTCTGTAAGATTTTTTCATTTGAATCGGATAAACCTCGTTGGTAGTTATTATCATCATCCTTGTGCAACTCCAATGATTTTGTTTTATCCAAGTTCATTATTATATGGAAAACATTTATTTAATTGTCTTCTTATAAATTATAGTAACTTTTAAATTTCATTTAAATGCATTTAATATATTTATCTCTCAATTACAGGTTGTTAAACTGAAGCAAATAGAGCATACTTTGAATGAGAAAAGAATATTACAGGCAGTGAATTTTCCTTTTCTTGTTCGACTGGAGTATTCTTTTAAGGTAAATTTTACTAATATTCAATAAAATATTTTCTACCTCATAATTTTTTTAAATATAAAGCTGTAATAGGATTCTAAACCGGATGATAAACCTGGAGAATATTAAAAAACAAAAAGGTAATATATTTAGATTTTATGTTATTAAATCCTATTGTACATTTAAACTTAGCATTTGAAAAATCTTTTAGTTCTCCCTGGGGAATTCATTAAAGGTAATGTGTAATTTTTCATGAGATAGTATTATAAAATTAATTATTTCAATTTATCAAAATTTATAGTGATATTTTATTTTATTTTTGTTAATCCTCACTCAAGGATATTTTTTCCATTGATTTTTAGAGACAGTGGAAGGAAGGGAGTTGGGGGGAGAGAGAGAGAGAAAGATAATGATGTGAGAGAGATATATTGATTGGTTGCCTCTCGCATGACCCTGACTGGAACCAGTGATTGAACCTGCAACCAAGTTACGTGCTCTGATTGGGAATCAGACCCATAATCCTTCGGCCTGCAGGCCAGTGCTCTAACTGCTGAGCTAAACTGGCCAGGGCCATAGCAATATTTTAATAAGGCAAATATTACATTCATGCAAAGAGTATACCTGCATACCTTCTTTTTCTCCTGAACCTTTTCTGTCACAATCTATCTTTTTTCACTTAGTAATTTGTACTCTAGTCTTTTCATTCATATGAGTTAGAACAGACTTTGGTCCTCTGCTCAAGTGTCATAAACTTTCAGAAGATTCATTAAGTTGGCAGCTTTTCAGTTCCTTAGACTCATATTTGGCACCTCTCTACAATGTTGAATCACATGAAGCATTTTAATTTTCTTTTCTTTTTCTTCCTTTGTTCTTTAAATCAAATAAAGACATGTGAATTCCTGATGATGTTAAAAATCATTAATTTCTCTGACCTAATATAGTATATAAAATGCAAATGTTCTTACTTTTTCAAATTGTTTATAACAGAGTTATTCCTTTGTATATACATTATAACATTAAGTTATTGCCACACTGTTTAATTGTTCAAGAGTTAAGTGTTCCCTGCAAGAGCAAGAAGAACAAAAATGCCAGACTACATTGTTTTAAGACTATTGGGGGGGTGGGGGGTGAGTGCCCCAGTGTAGAAAAGTTAGAGCGTTTTCTATGTATTCTGTTTCCCAGTGTTAGTAATCTATCACATGGATTTTTAAATTTGTCTGTTTCTAATTGAACATGGTGTTATCTTAAAATATTTTCTTGAGAAATAATCTTGGTTTCATAATTTTGATATATTTATCCTTTCTATTTATTTATAGGATAATTCTAATTTATATATGGTTATGGAATATGTTCCTGGGGGTGAAATGTTTTCACATCTAAGAAGAATTGGAAGGTTCAGGTAACTAATACTTTACTCTCCTCAAATCTTGCTGTGTGTTTGTTTTAAACCAAATTTTTAAGTTATTGTTAATGCTAAAAATTTATTTTATTTAACTTAGTAATTTATTATATGAAGAATTATGTGGAAACATTAATAAGAAGCCACATACTGAGTTTTTAAAGTCAAATAAAATCATTAGGATACCAATGTAAATATAAAGATAAAAAAGCAATCTATAGAAAAGATGATAGCCCTGGCCAGTTTGGCTCAGCGGTTAAAGCGTCGGCCTGCGGTCCGGAGAGACCCGGGTTCGGTTCCTGCTAAGGGCACGTACTTCGGTTGCAGTTTGTCCCCGGCCCTGGTTGGTCGTGCGGGTGGCAGCCACTCGATGTGTCCCTTCACGTCAATGTTTCTCTCTCTCTCTCCCTTCCTCTATCCCACTCTATCTGTACAAAAAATGGAAAAATATCCTCGGGTGAGGATAAAAAAGAAAAAGAAAAAAAAAAAAAAGATGATAATGGTATCATAATGATGAGATTATGAAAGATAGTTTTGCACACATTTAATTCTCTTTAATGTTGTTGCTATGTTGAGGTTTAAAAATATATACATAATTTTAAAAGAGTTTATACCTTATTAGGTTATTACAAATAAGGTCACACAGTTATTAAAACAGGTTATAGATTATCTTTACTGTGTGTAATAGTTTGTATGCCACTACTATTCATTAATAATCACCAATAGAATGAAGCTGAAACCAAGAATAGGTCAAGTCCAGCTTCATTCAGTACATTATAGTATATATTGGCAAAATTAACATGTTCAAACAGGACTCAATGATGGTAATTAGATTCATAAAAACATGATGATAGACTTGAATTATCATGAAATTATATTCAATAATGGCCAGTATTAGAGCTATTTTAGTTACCTGAAGCCTAAGCCAAAATGCATTTGGTGACCTAATGTATATATAGGGCATATGTGTCAGGCACTGTGCTAATGCAGACTAACTTCTGTTGTCCTTTCTCCTACCACCCTTTGTCCAAAGAGGCTCAGAATCCTCATATTGCCCTATAATTTTTATAATAATTCAAAGTTGTATGCTAAAGAACCACACCTATACCTGTCTTCAAAGAATATTTTGCCCATTTTCTATAATTACTAACTTTTTTGCAACTCCCCACACTTCTGTTTTTTTAATACTTGCTCCTAGGAGGAAAGCAAGTTGATTGGCATTAAGACACTGTCTTTTCTAATCTTTCACACATTCTACATACAGGGTTGGGCAAAAGTAGGACAGTTGTGAATATTCAAACCACAGAGTTTATGCTTGTATTATTATTTATTGTGGTATTTTCCCTATGAACAACTGTAAATCTACTTTTGCCAATCCTGTATACACTTGAAAGGTTGCTAACTCCCATCTTAGAAACTTTGAGGCAATGAGACTAAGTCATTGTTGAATATAGCTCTAATCAGAATCAGCAGAAATTATTATGATTCTCTACTTAAATAGCATCTGTCTAGACTTAAAGTTGATATAGCATTAAATCTTCCTATAGAATATTTTTTCTCCTTTCAACAATTTGATCATAGATCTGTGTAATGTTTGTGTTCATCCAATCAAATACCATTGTGTGGAAATGAATACAAAATGCCGAATGTATCTTATATTTTTTATAGAAATTTATGTTTACTTATAAGATGCTAAGTGCATCTTATATTTACAGATGCATGGAGGAAATAGGAGGAGACATCCCAGGACATACGTTTCCAAGTTTAGGGATAAAAGATCAGGACGATTTTACAATCCCCCTTTACAGTGTTGTCATTCCTTGTTATTCGACATATGATGTAGATTGTGACAGTGTTGAGATGGGGCTGAAAATGGAAGGGTATTATAAAATATAGCCCCCCAAATGTATTTTTCTTTACATATTTATCCGTTCAACAAATACTTACCGAACACCTGATGTGTATTAGGCTAGGAACTAGGAAATACAGTGACAAGCAAAAGGAGCAGCAGCAGCATAGATAATCTTTTTTTGGAATCTCTATTTCTGGTCCTACTAGATCAAATTCATGCCAACCATCTTGAGGGAAATTCTATTCATAGTTAAGGTTGTTCACTGAGGACATAAATCTGAAAGTCATTGCAATTTGTCAGGCAGATTAGCAGAATTCAGTGTATACACTAGAAGATGAAATAGAAACTCAGACTAAAAAGTCAGTCCATCCTTTTGTAACAATACTCAGAACATGGCATCAAAATCACACTGATCTATCAGTTGATCTCATCTATGCCTGTAAGATCTGTGCATATTTACACAAATACACAGCGTATACCAGTGTTTCTGTGTCTGTATATCCATGCATAGTGGAAAATTGGAAATTCAGACACGAGGATTGTGTCTATGGTTTCTGGATGGGATTATGAATGTCTTATTCTTCATTAATATTTTATTAATTTTTCTATAATAAGTATATATCATTATAATAAGAACAGTCTAGGTAAAGTGGCATTAATCTGCAGATTATTGCAATTAAAAAGCTTTTCTATTAGTAAATTTATTTAAGCACTTGAAATTTATGAGAAATGTAAATGGAACCTATGAACAGTAGCAGTGGCCATGATAGACAATCTAATTGGCACATTTGCTTTTTAATCATCCTCAAGGTCAGACATCATAAAAACATCAATATCTTCTTCTATAGCCAATAATAATTTAAATATGATGACAGTTTGAAAGTTATATTTTTCTTCAATGTGTTCTTCCACTAAGCATATCAAAGCATTATTTGAAGACAATTTAGAGATTTACTAAATATTTGGAAACTAATAAAATGTATTACATATGTTTAAATGAAAAAATACTTTTTACTCCCCAAATACTTCAACCCCATATTAATTTTTTGTATAATTTACTAATTGCTATGTGTTAATCCGTTTTATAGAAATCCAATGTTTTGTTTCTTTGTAGTGAACCCCATGCACGGTTCTATGCAGCTCAGATAGTGCTAACATTCGAGTACCTCCACTCACTAGACCTCATCTACAGAGATCTAAAACCTGAAAATCTCTTAATTGACCACCAAGGTTATATCCAGGTATGAACTTAACATACTGTATATAATGTATTTGAGAAAACACTAGGTAAGAAGTTGTATGTATTTTGTAACTGCCAATATAGAATTTTTTTTCTTTGAGAACACAACTACTTCTCCCTGCTAGCTTAAACAGTTTATAGTTCCCGTGCTATTACAGAGAACAGTAAGTCCCATCAAGGATCCACCCTGTTCATGTCTCCTGTAATCTACAGTCATGACCTGAGCACAGGCTCCTGCATAAAGAATTAGTAATAGTTAAATTTGTGAGTACTCATTTAGTGCCACGCATTATTCCAAGTGTTTTATATGTAGCACCTACTTTAATCCTGATAATGCCATGAAGTATATATAAATACTGTTGTTATCCTTATTTTGGGTTGATGAAACTAAAGCACAGGAAGGTCACACTGGTAGAGTCAGAATTGAACCTAGACAGTCTGTCCCCAGAGTCCATGCATTTTACACTATAACACAGCTGCCAGAGGAGCCCCACCTACCAATACTGGGCTGGTTATAGTGTTTTCTTTCCGTTTCTACTATTAATAAATGGGGGCATCCCTTTTTGTATAGTCATCCCATCTCCCCAATGATGCATTTGCACTTCTGATGATATAATTAATGGCAGAGGGCTAATTGCATTTAAGAGATACTTCTAGCACTGCTTCATTTTTATTAAGACCATTACTTTTTTTGGTTAATTTGCTTCTTTGTTGGAGCCAGGAAAAGGTTATTTAGCCTGGGTGGTTTCAACTACATTCACTAAATAGTGGCCCTTGTGGATTAGCCTCAATTACATTGAATTAATTTGTTTTTCCTGGTTTTCATTTTAACCCTGATTTTAAACTTTCACCGTCAGTACAATAAATGCATTTGTTGTGAGATAGTAATGTTCACAGGGTTTTGTTTTTTTTCTTTTATAGGTCACAGATTTTGGGTTTGCTAAAAGAGTTAAAGGCAGAACTTGGACATTATGTGGCACTCCAGAATATTTAGCTCCAGAAATAATCCTCAGCAAGGTATGTTTATACTGTCATTACATAAGAAATAGAAGCATAAGGCATGCATCAATGTGGACTTTTATGTAAACAGTCTATTGATCTAATTTTACATTATTTAACCTAAATTATGAATTTAAATCTATTTCTGCATAATTACTAAAAAATAATTATTTTGAGTCTATTACTAATGCCAAAAACTCTGTATCTAATAAAAATAATATTAATAGATCTAACCTCTAGATCCATGTTTTAAAGCCAAAAGCATGACATTTTCATAATCATTCCCAATGTCAAGAGCGCGAGGAAGCCTTGCTGTAGGTTACATCAAGAGGCAAATCTAAAGATGTGTTCATGGTCAGTTCTCTGTTTCAACTTTACCACTTACGTGACAGGAATTTATGTTAATTATTTTTTAATTTTAGTTTAAAAATAGGAATATTACAGCAGTTGAGTATAGTCTTATTGAAGACAGTTCTACTTCTCCAAACAATGAAATGTGGTGAGAGAAACTTGTAATCACATCTGAAAGAATGGTGTAACTTCTCTTTTCCACGACCATTCCTTAGTGGAGAAAACTAGAAAGGAGAAATTAACAATAACTGACCACAAACAGGAACAAGAAAAGAGGAAGGGCTAAGACACAAGCCTCAATATTTAGAAACTCAATACCTACCCTCTGAGTAACTGAAAATAGCTAACCTTATAGAAGTATTAGAATAACATAAAAGATTTTTTTCAGCTTTCTCTCATTCTCTTTCATACTTTAAATCTTTTACTTTTTAGCCTTTTAGAATCAAAATATCATTGCTATTAACACATATCATTCTTAACTATACTTAACAAATACAGGGCATGGCAAAAGTAGGTTTAAAGTTGTTCTGTATGAAAAATAATATAATGATAAATAACAATATAGGAATAAATTATTTTTCACATACAACTGTAAACCTACTTTTGCCCCACCTAGTGTTTTCTCAAATACAATGACAAAACTTTTTAAAATGTATATATATATAGTAAAAGTAATAGATGTTCAATGTACAAAATTTGGAAAATACAGAAAAATATAAAGAAACAAAGAACCCTATAATATCATCACCCAGAGGCAGCCATTTTTTAAAAATCACTTTAATATATTTTTATACGCATGTTACCTTACTTGAGATAGAGTGAAGGTACAGTTTTGTATTCAGATTTTTTCACTTGAATGATAACAAGTGTGCAAACATTCTAATGAATTATTTGCAAATGTAATCACAAAGTATTTCACCGTTCTTTTATTATTGAATATTCAGGTTGTTTCCTTTTTTATTTTTTTCTATTATAAATAACTGTGATAAATGTCTGTGTGCATAAGCTTTTTCTGCATTTCAAATTATTTTTTAGGATAAATTCCTAGAAGTGAAATTAGTGGGTCAAAGAGTATGAACATTCTTAAGGCTCTCGATACATATTGCCAAAATGCTTTCCAAAAAGATACTAACATTTCATACTCCTATCAACAGTATGATTCACCACAGTCTCTTTAGCATTGGGTATTCTTATTTTTTAAATCATTACTAATTTAATAGGCAATAAATGATGTTATTTTAAGTCTCATTTCTTTATTAGACTTGTTTTAATACTTGTAGCCATTTTGGTATTTCCCCCCCGCCATAGACACCTTCCTCCCCTTTCCACCCCCACCCCACCCCCAGCATTGTTGTCTATGTCCATTGGTTACACTTACATGCATATAAGTTCTGTCATTTATCACATCTATCTCCCCCCGCCCCCCTTCTCTGAGGTTTGTCAGTCTAAACGGTAATCCTTTCTATGTCTCTGGGTCTATTTTATTCATCACCTTATTTTGTTTATTATATTCCACAAATAAGTGAGATCTTGTGGTATTTGTCTTTCTCTGATTGGCTTATTTCTCTTAGCATAATGCTCTCCAGGTCCTTCCCTGTCGTCTCAAAGGATAAGAGATCTCTCTTTCTTACGTCTACATAGCGTTTCATTGTGTACATGTACCACAGCTTTTTCATCCAGGCACGTTTCTTATGAACATTAGCACACAGTTTAAAACACAGAAGTCAGAGTTTAGTAATAGGATCTGGTTTAACATTCCATGCTTTCATTATAAATGAAAGTATTAATGAGTTATATTAAAAGAGCTAAGCAGCCAGTGATTCTCACATCAATGTTTCTGTCTCTCTCTAAAAATTCAATAAAAACATTTTTTAAAAAGTTAAGCAAAGTTGACACCCATTTCTATTAGCAAGATAAAGTGCTGTTCCTATTATATTAGTCTCTTCCTTTTTTTTTTATTTGTTTGTTTTTTTATCTTTATTGAATGTATTACAGATGTTCCTCATTTTTCCCCCATTGACCCCTCCTCCCCAATACCCCCACACACCTTTCCCCGAACCGCTGTCTGTGTCCATTGGTTATGCATATAAGTTCTTTGGTTTATTTCTTCCCACCCCCCCAACCCCCTTCCCTTTGAGGATTGTCAGTCTACCAACGAATTTGTACTTCTTAATCCCTTCACCTTTTTCACCCATTTCCCCAAGCCCCCTCCCATCTGGCAACCAACAAAATGTTCTCTGTGTCTATGAGAATGTTTCTGTTCTGCTTGTTCATTTTGTTTGTAGATTCCATTGTCGATAGATATGTATTCATTGCCATTTTGTTTGTTCATATATTTTATCTTTTTCCTCAGAAAGACCCTTCATCATTTCATATAATAGCAGTTTGGTGGTGATGAACTCCTTTAACTTTTTCTTGTCTGGGAAACTCTTTATATGGCCATCGATTCTAAATGACAGCTTTGCAGGATAGAGTAATCTTGGTTGTAGGTTCTTGCTTTTCATCATTCTGAATACAGTGATACCTCGGTTCTCGAACGCCTCGGATTTCGACCAAATCGGTATTCGACCAGGAGATTCGAGAAACTTTTGTCTTGGAATCCGAACAAATATTTGGAACTCGAACTTCCGAGATGAGCCGAGTTGAGCCGAATGGCGTTCATTCGGCCCAGCGCGCCTTGCTTGCGTCATCAGTGTGAGTGCAGAGAGTCACGCTTTGTGGAGAGAGTCACGCTTTGTGGAGAGAGTCACGCTTTACACTGAATTTAACCCTTAGACATACTGTACACTTTTATTTCTTGTTGAGACTTATGTTTTTCTACATATTATATACAAATTAGGCCAGTAAATAGGCATTTTCTGGGGCTTGGAACAAATTAATCCAGTTTCCATTATTTCCTATTGGGGGTTTCATTGCTTCGGTTCTCGAACAATTTGGTTCTCGACCGTCCTCCTGGAACGAATTATGTTCGAGAACCGAGGTATCACTGTATTTCTTGCCACTCCCTTCTGGACTGCAAAGTTTCTCTTTTGAGAAATCAGCTGACAGTCTTATGGGAACTCCCTTGTAGGTAACTAACTGCTTTTCTCTTGCTGCTTTTAAGATTCTCTCTTTGTCTTGAACCTTTTGCATTTTGATGATGATGTGTCTTGGTGTGGGCCTCTTGGGGTTCATCTTGTTTGGGACTCTCTGTGCTTCCTGGTCTTGTATGTCTGTTTCCTTCACCAAGTTAGGAAAGTTTTCTGCCATTATTGTTTCAAATAGATTTTCCATTTCTTGTTCTCTCCCCCGCTTAAAGTTGTCCCAGAGGCTCCTTACACTAACCTCATTTTTTTGGATTCTTTTTTCTTTTTGCTGTTCTGATTGGGTGTTTTTTGCTTCCTTATATTCCAAATCAGTGGTTTGCTTCTTGGCTTTACCTACTTTACTATTGAATCTGTGTAAATTATTCTTTATTTCAGTTAGTGCCTCCTTCATTTCTGACTGTGCATCCATCATTTCTGACTGTTCCTTTTTTATGCTCTTGAGACCCTCACTAAGTTCATTGAGGTTCTCACTAAGTTCATTGAGCATCCTTATAAGCAGTATTTTGAACTCAGCATCTGTTAGGATGCTTATCTCCATTTCACTTAGTTCTTTTCATGGGGTTTTGTTCTGTTCTTTCATTTGGGACCTGTTTCTTTGCCTGCTCATTTTGGCTGCCTCTCTGTGTTTGTTTCTGTGTATTACTTAACGAGAGGTATGGGGCTATCTGAGACCAGATGCTGCTTGTTTGAAAAAATTTAGGAAAACCTGAAGCAGGATCCAAGACAGGCCAATCCTATGGTTAAGCAACTGGCAACAGCTTGGGTGAGCCTGAAATTTGGGTGGGGCAGGGCCTCAGGGAATAACCAGGGCAGGGCAACCAGTATGAGCCAGGTTGCTGGAGTCCCAGATATGGCAGCTGTCTGCTGCCCCAGGGAAGGGCTCACTAATGGAATGTTTGTCCTGGAGAAAGTCCCCTTTCCAGCCCTCGCTCCAGTGCCAAACAGCTCAGTTCTTCCCTGTCTGTCTCTGGTGCCCCTCAAGCTGCCTCCCCTTCAAGCTTAGAGGGAGTGAGTCCTATAAGTCTGTGCACGGGCCCTTTAAGAGGAGCTGCCTGAGGCTCCAGCAGCATCAGCCTCCCCGAGCCTCAGTTCCTGCTGGTTTTTCCAGCCAGAAGTTATGGGGATTCTCTTCCTGGTATTGCATCCCTGAGCGGGGTGCCTGGTATGGGACGGGGACCCCTCAGTCCTCAGGGAGGACCTTCCCAGCCGAGGTGTCCTCCTGATTTTTATTCGCCACAGGTGGGCGTGGGACCAGCCCCTCTGCCTGCGCCCCTCCTACCAGTCTCGATGTGGCTCCTTCTTTAATTCCGTAGTTGTAGGACTTCCAGTCAGCTTGATTTCAGGCTGAATCATCAGTTTTGAATGATGGCTGTTCTGTAGTTTAGTTATAACTTTGATGTGGTTCTGGGAGGACCCCGTTTACCTATGTCGCCATCTTGACCGGAAGTCCCTGGTCTCTTTCTTTTAAAAAACATGCAGAAGCAGAACAAAAAGGAAAAGAAAATCTCTCTTTATAGTATTATATTTTAGCTAATAATTTGAAAACTACTAGTTTATAAAGCTAAAATTTTGAGAAAAGGTTGAAATGTGGGGAGTGGTGAAGGTAATTAGCAGATATATTTGATTAAAGATCTGGCAAGAACTCAGTTTATTCCTTTCCATAATTGAGTTTTTTTTGTGTGGTTTTTTTTTTTTCATAATCTTTTGTGCCAGTTCACACTAATCATAGTTGATAACAAACTTTATGTATACATGTTAATATTTAAATTTATTTTTTATAAATACTTTTACATCTTAATCTTAGTGAATTTAAAATGAATAAATATCCCAACTAAAAAGAGCCTTAGCACTGTATATTTGATTCACAACACCCTTTCAGGATATGTGCTGCTGAAGCGAGCATACTCAACGCACTCGTTATACATGTTATTTGCTTTCATTAGATGTAGTCCTCGTAAAGCCCCATGAATTATCTTCTCTGTATACGTTTTAGAGGTGAGACTCAAAAAGTATGCTTAAATATTTACATTTATTAGATTCCAAATTAAGCGTTTAGCTGTCATAAGATCCTATGAAGTGGATGGGATTGTCCTTAGTATATTCACCCCCCCCCCCGAAAATCCAACAATGAAGCATATTTTGAAGTCAACTGCACTGTTTATTATGAAGTCCAATATCTACTTTTTTTTCAAAACTCTTGACATTCCTAAGCATTCTCTAGGAAACCTGGTTCATAAAATCATAGACCTGAAATGGGCTTTAGGAGGTAATTTGGTCCCAGTCCCTTCCTACTGTTGAGCAACAACTAAATTATTCCAACTGAAATGGGGAATATTTTGTCCACGATGTTCTGAATGATTTCAAAAAGAAGACTTAATAATATTTGCTAATATCCAATTTCAATATTTGGACAATCTCTCCTTATTTAATTTAAACCTGACCTGACACATTTTGTTCAGTTTTTATTCTACCCTGAATAACTCAGTACCCACTTTTGAAAAAATATCCTATGCTTTCAGCTCATTTTGAAGTCATCTATGACGTCTTTCTCTGCTGAGTGAATTACTCATTGACATTTGGTGTTGGTTTCTCCTAGGGCTACAATAAGGCAGTGGATTGGTGGGCATTAGGGGTGTTAATCTATGAAATGGCAGCTGGCTACCCCCCATTCTTTGCAGACCAACCAATTCAGATTTATGAAAAGATTGTTTCTGGAAAGGTAAGAAATATATTTCATTATTCCTCTATTATTTATTATTTTTATTATACATGAATTTTAAGCTTTGTAGATTGAAGCCATTTGACATCATCATCATATTATCCTAAATTTGAAAAATATGGAAATATCCAGAGTTGCTGCCCTTGTATCGAATATCCACTAAAGATGACAGAATATGTGTTCAATCATTGCAGTCTCTTAAGGGAAAAAAGGGCAGTTTTATAAACATGTTAGCAAAATAATAAAACATTTTCCATTTTTAGTAATTTTACCACTTGCATAACAGCATCATAGTCTTCTCAGGATTGCTTCAAGTCAACAAACATCAATAGACATTTCATGTAGCTCTCTCCTTGGAGAAATGTTTTAGGGGCTTTTAAAAAATATGCTCATACTTTTTTAGGAGACTTCTTGTTTGAATTATGTCAAAATTCAAAGTTTAAAGTAAATATAAATTACATATTTTAAAAATAATTAATAGCAATTATGTAAATAATTATTCATGTTCATTGTGATTATAATTGCCATTGATCTTTGGCAAATATGTAAATACCATTAATTTTTCTTGACCATGAGTAGATTTACTATAAGTCATCATATTTTACTTTTTTTTTTCAATCCTCACTGGAGGACATTTTTTTCATTTTTTGTTCAGATAGAGTGGGGGGTGGGGAAGAGAGAGAGAGAGAAATTGACGTGAAAGGGACACATCGAGTGGCTGCCACCTGCACGACCCAACCAGGGCCGGGGACAAACTGCAGCCGAGGTATGTGCCCTTAGCGGGAACTGAACCCAGGCCTCTCTGGACCACAGGCCAATGCTCTAACCGCTGAGCCAAACCGGCCAGGGCCATATTTTACATTTTACAATTATTCCAAAAACCTTCCTTCTTTTATATTTATAATCCCTGGTTTTGTTTCCAAAAGTATTTGTCTAGCGTTAGTCACTTGCTCTTTCTTTGGTTCACACCTCAGGTTCTTTTTTAAAAATTCTACAGTCGCGCCCTGGCCGGTTTGGCTCAGCGGTTAGAGCGTCGGCCTGCGGTCCGGAGAGACCCGGGTTCGGTTCCCGCTAAAGGGCACGTACTTCGGTTGCAGTTTGTCCCCGGCCCTGGTTGGTCGTGCGGGTGGCAGCCACTCGATGTGTCCCTTCACGTCGATGTTTCTCTCTCTCTCTCCCTCCCACTCTATCTGTACAAAGAATGGAAAAATATCCTCGGGTGAGGATTAAAAAAAAAAAAAAAAATTCTACAGTCGCCCTGACTGGCCAGGTGGCTCAGTGGGTGGGAGCGTTATCCCTTACATCAAAAGGGATTGGATCCCGGTTGGGGCATGTAGGGGAGGCAGCCAATTGATGTTTCTCCCTCACATCGATCTTTCTCTCCCTTCCTCTCTAAAATCAATAAACATATCCTCAGGTGAGGATAAAAAAAAAAATACTACAGTCAATTTTAATAGAGATTCTTCCTATAGCAAAGAAAGAGTAGGCTTTTTTTAATTCCCAGAAAGAGGCTGTCTATATTTATGATAAAGTTTATGGAAAGTGGTATTTTTCTTACTTTCCCCTTGGCTATTCTTACATATGGCGTGTTCTGTTTATTTATGGAATGTTTTTGTTGGTTGTTTGTTTGGTTGGTTGGTTGGTTGGTTTTTTCGATTACATAGCCCTATTTAGAATTTGACCATGAAATAGAGTATTAATGTTGATGTGACATTACCCTAAGATGTAATGTAATTGACTTTTTTTCTATTTTTTGGCCTTTTAAGGCAGATATTAGCCTAATAAACCTAAAGAATCTCGAAGGAGGTAGAGAAAATTCTCTATTTCTTTGTACCTCAGCCAGGTTCACACTCTACATTTAGAATGAAAGCTGATAGTATCAATGAACTTAAAATTTACAATGTTAACTTAAAAGGTACAATGTTAAGAAGGTAACCTAAATGTCCATAATCTAGTAATTTATCTTTTTTACCAAGACCCAAATTTCAATCATGGATACTGCATAGCTGGGCCACAAGAATAAGACACCAACAAAATGAGTCTATCCATAGACTCCACATCTTAACACAGTATGTTCCATTGCTCATAGTGCTTATGCAGTCTAATGGGGTCAAAGATTTTCATTTATAGTTAAATGTATTTTATGGGAAAAGTTTTTGAAAATAAGTACCTCTTACAGATACGTAAACTAAAGCTAGGCATTAAAAACATTACAGAAAAGCAGAATGAAGTATTTTAAATAATTAAACATCAGTGCTGTCCTTTTTACTTTTGTAGCTCTCTAGGCTTCAGATTTCTTATGTTTATAATTGTTTTCACTAAGAAGAATGTTAAAGCCACAGTAAAAAAAACCTTTGAGATGAACAAAAGAAACATCAAGAAAAATTAATAGACACGGAAGTATATTTTTTAAGAATTTGGAAAGTGATTTTTCAAATTCTCAAGAGAGAATATAAACCAAAGGTCTTATGAAGAATGATGAAAGAACTAAAATACTTAAAATCACTAAATGGAAGAAGCATATTTTACCAATACAAAGACTAAGAATGAAGAAATAGCAATAGCCCGGCCGGTGTGGCTCAGTGGATTGAGTGTCGTCCATGGACTGAGAGGCCCTGGCTCGATCCCCAGTAGGGCAGGTGCTGGAGGCAGCTGGTCAATGTTCCTCTCTCACATCAATGTTTCTATCTCTCTCTACCTTCCTCTGTCTCTAAAAAAATCAATAAAATACATTTTTTTAAAAAGAGAAATAGCAATAATTCCAAAAATTTAATTGCTGGAAATTACAAAGTTCCTGAATCTTTACTATATTGCTTTTATTTATGCTTAACTTTCTAAAAGGAATCAAATTCTCTAACAAGGATGCTGTCACAAGTAAATTTCATTTACTTTGATAAATTATTTTAGTAAAAGTGAATATATCTTTATCTGTATGGATTGGCCTCAGTTTGCCAATCATTCTACATTATGAAACATTTTTTAGCTGTTTACGAATATGTTTTTATTTCATCTCAAACTTAAACATTTAGGATCCAATAATAGCTTAAACTTTAAATCTGCATATATTCTAAAATTATAACAGTTTAACTCTGAGTCACCTTAAAAGAGGAGCGACATAAAATTTTGTCATATCACACAATATCTGATTTATTTCTTCATTTATTTAGAAATATAATAGGGTGTTTTGCTTTTAACTAAAGGTGCCAGATTGTCTCTCCCCATATTGGATATAAAGTTATTTTCATTCTTTGTTCCCTTTCCTCACTTAAAGTGGGACTCATGAAAGCAGAATATTGCCATTAAATGATCTCAAGGATCTGCATTATGTGAATATAAAATCATATTCACCATTTCCCAATAAAACCCTCTGTTTCAACATGTAAATCCAAACTTAGATATAGCTCTCTCCACATTACAAAAATGTCCCTCTGCTCAGTAGCTAAAAACCAAATAGGAGACTAAGTAGTTTTAATCAATCAATCAATCAATTAATTAATTAATGAGTTTTGTTCAAGTCATTAAAATCCAATTATGGCCTTTTATTTGTGAATCCTGTATTTGTAGTTAAATTTTTTAATGGTTTTAATGATGTAATAGATTATAAAAAAATATACTTACATCCAGAACACTTTTCCAATTTTAAAAAAATGTATATTATTATTTTATGCAGCAACATTTTATGTTTATTATATTTTCCATTCTGAAGTCATGTTATAAAGATTATAGGTATCACTGACTTATCCAAATTAAAATAAAATGTATTTAATGAACTGATTAATTTACTAAAGTACATATATTTGAACATTAGATTGTTAAGTACTTTATTATAATATTATAACTCAAACTGGTATTTTTAAATACACAGAAAGATGATCAATAGCTTCTTAGATTCTCTCCCACACATATTGCCTTTAAAATAAACAAAGGAGGAGGCATCTGAATGTCAAATTATTCATGCAATATTAAGGTTCAGGTTAAAAATGCACAGTTAACAGAAAAGTCTTATTAATTCCCACATTTTATGCTTCATCCTAACAATGCATGTGCTGAGTTTCTGTCGTCTTTAAATGTTATGCCTCAGTGCCATATACTTTATTAGTTGTGGTTTCTACAGTAACTCTGTCTGGCTGTATTACTCTTGGAAACATCAAAGTTAACATTGTGTTCAAAAATGATACTTGCAAGTAAGGCAGTCAAGTAATAGCTGTAGGCGAAACCATTACTTTAGAGCTGTTGACTTATGTAACTTAATAAAAATTGTTAGCTTCGTTATAAGTAAAATAAATATTATTCCACTTTTAATGAGCACCAAAAATGTACAAGGAAACACTATACAAAAGTAAAGTTGTAAACGTTTACATATATAAAATGATCAAACAGTTGGTTAATTTTTTCCTGAAGGGAATTCACAGTCCCATGAAAGGTAATTGGTTGGTAGCCAAATGGCTATTCTCTATGTGTCTGGTGTCTTGAAGACCATTCCCAGGTTAGAAGATTCACTAGGTAGACTCCAAGAATCAAGGAACAGATAGATACTTTACGTTGTAACGCGTACCCTCATTGTGCCTTACTGGGAAAAGATACAGAATAAAATCAGCAAATGGAAAAGGCACATGGGGCAAAGTCCAGAGGAAACCCGCACAGGCTTTCAAGAGTCCTCTCCCAATGTTAAAGGATCTTCTTTAATAAGAAGAAGAAGAGTCTGGCTGGTGTGGCTCAGTGATTAAGCATCGACCCATGCACCAAGAGGTCGCCGATTTGATTCCTGGTCAGGGCACATGCCCAGGTTGTGGGCCCGATCCCCAGTAGGGGGCATGCAGGAGGTATCCAGTCGATGTTCTCTTTCATAGATGTTTTTATCTCTCTCTCCATCTCACTTCTTCTCTCTCTAAAGTCAATAAAGGAAAAAAAATTCAATAATATAAATAATAAAATAGCAATAAATATGTATCTATCAGCAATTACTTTGAATGCAAATCAATGAAATGTTCCAATCAAAA